TTTTTTTTTTTTAATATATCGGCAAGGATTATAGAACTGTTCTTTTTTTCATATATGTATAAATTTTTACAGGAAATAAGCTTGTATTTTTTACGCACAAGTGGATGCTAATTCGGTCTTTTGACAATATGCGCTATTCTTGTTTTTCTGTCATACGTGCCTATATATATTATTTTACATAAAAAATTAATATAAATACGAATACATATAAAATAAATATACGGTAATGTAGGAATAACACAAAAGAATTGATTTTATTACATAATGTAAGGACGAATTAAGTGATTGGTACTTTGTACAGACATATTTGCGCACTGTTTAAAAACGTCGAACTTGCACACGGTCGAATAAATGCGAATATTATTTATTTTGAAAAATAGCAACTTCTATATATGCAATAACAGTTTATTATTCTAACTTGGGCATAATGATGGAAAAGAAGTGGATAAAAGCAGGTTAGATCATTTGTATTCAGGGTATGTTGGAATTCTTTCCAGGCCTAAGGCTTTTTACGTTTAAATATTCTTTTATGTTCAAAATGGTAGGGTATTTTATGTAAAATATGTTAATAGAGGCTTTAGGGCTTTAGGGTGTAGGATGTAAGATTTACGGTCTCGGATTTACGATGTACGTGCTAGAATGTAGGACCTATGGTCTCGGATTTACGATGTACGTTCTAAGATGTAGGAACTATGGTCTCGGATTTACGATGTACGTTCTAGGATTTAGCATCTACGATCTAGGATCTAGGATGTATGGTCTCGAAGTTCAGGGTTTTAGGGTTTAGGCTTCAGCAATCTACGTTTTCAATGATCATATTAAAAGATGTATATTTTCACAGTTTCCGGGTTTATGAGTTTTAGGATTTAGGGGTGTCTTTTTTGTTTCTTCATGGGACATCCTTCTTTAGTGCTACTCCTGCCTAATGTTCTTGCCTTATTCGTTACTTTACCGCTTGAACATTCTACGCACTACTGTCACATTGCTGTCCTGTTTCTTCCCTTTCTCCTTGTGCTCTAGCGCATTCTGCGCCTTCTTCTCTAGCGTCCTTGTTCTTCTGCTGCAATGCGCCTGTTCCGCTTCTCTCGCGTGTTCGTAACGGACATTGTCTCCGAGTGCAAGCAGGAGCAGATTTCCTCCGAGCAAACGGGGCCGCGTAAACCGCATCGTAGCCGAGTGTAAGAAGGAGGAGGCGCGATTGTCTCTCCGAGCAAACGCGGCCGGGTACACGGATTGTCCGAGTGTAACCACGACTCGACGAAGTAGCCCAGTGTAACAAGCAGCAGAGATTGTCTCTCCCAGCAAACGTGGCCGGGTAACACATTGTCGTGGAGTGCACGAAAGGAGGAGGATTGTCTCTCCGAGCACCCGCGTCGACCAAAGCGGCCGAGTGTAACAACGATTCGACGAAGTAGCCGAGCGAAGCGGTTCGATTACGGAGTTAGAGTAAACGATTCGACGACGTAGCCGCAGGAGGGCCGGCGACCACGACGGCAGAAGAAATTGATGTTGTTGTTTGTACTGCGGTTTGGTTGTGTACGCACACAGAGAGACAGTGTGTGTGAAGGCGTTTCGTGGACACCGGTGTAGAACGGGGTGCGGGGGTGGTATTCATGACGCGTGTTGTGCGTGTACGGTAGTGTAGTAAAACTTTTTTTTCCTTTCCTTTTTTGTGTCATTTTTTTTATTTTTTTTCTGTTTTTCTTCTGTTCCTTCTGTTCCCATTCTTTTCTTTCTCTTTCCCTTCAGGGTCCACAAAACTTAAACCCGGAACCCAGGCTCTGGATCCTGCGAACTTCGAGCAAGGACCGTGGGACCCAAACCTGTGGATTAGGGTGGGCGACAGGGGGATGGTGAAGTCGGACACACTAATTTTTTTTTGGAATTGTTGTTTTTGTCTATCATATGGATTAGGTTGGTGTAGATGGGAACGAGGATAAAGTGAAGATTACGGTAGATTTATGTGAACGGATATATTTACAAAAGTATCATTCCTGAACGACAGGGGGTTATAGTGCTTACGTAGCATTATTATCATCCTAACCAATTTTGAACTTTGCACTGTACTAATGGAACAATGGTCACACAGTGTGTGCACGCCGTGGCAACATGGGCAAACAGGAGAGGAATAGGGACCCAGGAACAGCTTAACGTAAGTAATGCTGGGCAAAGGGACAATTATGTATCACAGGGTACGTAGTATGGTAGCATGTTGTATGACAGGGACGAACACTTATAGCGTATGTACATGCATTTTTTCCTATATGTGGTCTGTTGAAATATTATAGGAAGGTATATTACGAGACATGAAGGACGTAGGACAGGAATTTTTTAAATATATGGAAGAAGGGTATGACGAGGCGGTATTGGCACAATCGTGTGGGGACACGGGTTGGACTGATCAGATACCAGGTGTCCCTACTGTCGGCCAAACTCCGGGTGATAGGCTCCAATGTAAGTTTATGGTGGGCGCATTATTTTTCATGAATGCGTGGGGGCTGGGTGAACATGGGGGATACGATGCTTCGGCCGTAGCAACCAGATTACACACATATATAAGGTGTATAATTGTGAATGTATTTATGTTTCAGTTAATGAAAGCAAACTGTGGGAGAAATCACGGTATACGACAGGCATTGCGCATATTTGAACCCTTTATGGCCATTGTGCCTAATGGTGTTAATCTTAACATGTGTACCTGGGTGGTTAATAATGACCTGAAAGTAGGAGGCAAAGTAATAGGCGCAGAATTTGATGAATGGATAATGGGCAATGCAAAAATGAAGGCGAAGATGAACAAGTTACAGAAATCTGCAAGATGCACAAGCAGGGGGACACAGACATCAAACAATGGCCAGGGGAGTATACATTTATTGCAGGCAGGACACGTGCGCAACGCCATGGCGACAGGAATGACGCGTATATTACAGAAAGTACGGAAGAGAGTAAAGACACTACGGAGGCCAGTTCCTTCCGAAGACGACGATGATGACGAAGATGAGGACGATGAAGAAGACCACGATGATGATGATGAGGATGCAGAAGAGAAGGATACGAATGGTAAGAACAGTACGAATACGACTCGTAAGCATACCAATCATACGGCCGCACACGGGATCACACGGCCCGGTCCGTACGGTACCGATATAGATGCCACCACCACAACAACACAACGGGCACAACACCACGCGCCCGCGCGAAGAACAACAACACGCACACGCGGCGGGAACAGCCACCCCCTCGTGGAGCCGCGTACAGCGACCACGACGGGAGCGGCGGCGACGAGGCACCGGACGAGGGCGGAGACACAGGCACAAATAAAAGTGTACTGCACCATGCAGCCGATCTACCCTGCCGCTACCTGACCGAACCGTCCCGGCCCCCTTCTTTCTGTCTACCACTGGTGTCCTTTTTGTATCATTTTGTCGTTTTTGTTCCGTTCTCCGTTTTGTAGGTGCCGCGGCAAAGCCGGCGGCAACGAAACCACAAGCACCTGCATCTCCAGTATTACCAGCACCTGCAGCAGGGGCCACGGCACAAGGAGCAGCCGGCCAAGGACCAGGCCCAGCACCTGCAGGACCAGGCCCTGGACAGCAACCCCCACCTCCACCACCAGACAACGACGCTACCGAAGCTGGAGCCGCAGCAGTAACGCCAGCGTCGAAGGATACGAAAGAAACAGGTAAGGAATATGTACCTGAGGATGATGAACTAGTTAATGTTAAACTTAGAGGAAGTTCTGGTTCTATAAGTGTAGTTACCTCAACTACTTATAACAGTGGAGCACCCTCGCAGGAGGACATGGAGCAATACGGAAACACCACAGATCCACAATCAACAGGTTTGGACAACACAATATGCCCCGGGTAGTATTCACCCAGGTGTAGGGATCTGCCCACTGCAGACAGTGTTTTTTTGTAAAAAAAAAAAAACGGCAAACACCAATTTCCGGAGAGAGACGGGAGAGACAACACGCAGCGAGCGAAACCAAAGGTCGAATGAGAGTAACCGGCAGAGCGGCAGAGCGGCCGTGGGTTGTAGACGTCGACAGACGGACAGACACGCCCACACTGTGTGTGTTGCGTGTTGTGTGTTGTGTGTGGGACAGAGAGAGAGTCTTTTCCCGTGGTGGCACAGCGGTCCCGACCAAGCGTTGGCACCGTGGCACCATGGTGCCGACCGTGTGGTCAATCCATGAGCAACCATGCAACCGAGCATGGCCAAGCACCCGTTGAATCATCGCACACGGTTCACTTTCGACACTTATTCTCCTTCTCATATTTACATACAGGACCTGATAGTCCCCCCGGTTCCTCGGTGAACACCAGTACGGATGACCCCCCTCCTCTCAATCCACCCAAACCAAAACCGAATCCGAACCCAGATCAGGCGGGTTCCACAGGCAGTGTCCCCGATGGCCGGGATAGTACTGAAGCCATTTCCCCGTCTCCCGCAGGCAGTCCAAGTGAGCAAGCGCCTGCAGTTGTTGCTGCCGCTGATGGTGTTTCTGGTGGGGAAGGCAAGGGAGGTGCTGATGGAGCACGTCAACCGGGTTCCTCTGGACCCGGTTCCACTGGTCCCCAAAACCCCGGTTCATCTGGTCCAGGTTCTGCGGGGACAGGATCAACTGGTACTAAGGGCACCGGTTCTTCTCCTTCCGGTGGTCCAAGTCAAGGAGTTCATGACCCACCTCAACCTCCCCTTCCTTCCCCGAAACCCTTCGACCCTCGCGATCTCATCCCGCACACCCCTGCGATCATTCCCGAGGCGGTTGGTATTGCGATCATTGCGTTCTTGGCATGGAAGGTAAGTATATATGGCAATCCAGGCATGCCGCATGTGCAGGATGTTTATACCTCAGCACATCCCTACGGGCTCCAATACATGATCGTTCTACTCAATGTACTCCTACACCCTCGTTCATTCCTGTTATCCTACCGCGCCCACCCTCCTCTGTACCCCGCTTTTTGTGCTTAGTACTTTGCGCACCTCGCCAAGCGACGACGAACATATCGAACCGTTCGTGACGTGCCGTCACCGCCACTCGACGAAGAAATTCTAGACCATCTACAACGTGGCGAACTGCCGCCACCCGATTACGGTTACACCATGGTTAAGGCCACGCAACCTGCGTCTGCTGCCGCACGCCGCGGACCACGCCCACCACGCGCGCATAAACGCACGATCATCGAACTACATCTAGAAGTGCTCAACGAATGTGAAGCAGCCGCGTGGGATACGGTGAAAGACGACTATTTGCAAATACTCGTTGAAGAGTTTATGGGGGGCAACAACACCTGTACAAGTAGCTCCGACGTCTGTACCCCAGACGACGGTTTAGCAACCCAGGACTCAACAACAAACGCCGCTTCACCAACGCGCGATACACCCACCGATGCCGACGGAACGGATGCATGCCCATTGAATGAGCCCGATCCATGGAGTTGTATGGAATCCATACAGCTAGAAACGGACACTTCTCCACCGAATGACCCCGATCCATGGAATTGTATGGAAACCATGCAGTTAGCACCGGACACTTCTCCACCCAAAGAAGATGACCCATGGAGTTGTATGGAACCCATACAGTTACCAACGGAACCTGGTCAACCGAATGAACACGACCCCGATCCATGGCGTTGTATGGAACCTATAGAGTTCGAAACGAATGCATGTCCATTGCATGACCCCGATCCATGGAGTTGTATCGAAACCATACAGTTAGAAACGCACCCTTGTGCACCGACTGCACACGACCCCGATCCATGGAATTGTATGGAAACCATACAGTTAGCAACGGACCC